CTCCTTGGGTTTCCGAGGCAGTATCACTACGGAAATAGGATTGCCCAACCTTCCTTCCGAGGAGTGGCTGGTGGGTTTGAACCGCCTAGTTAATTAATTATTTCACTTCATTATCCTATTTCATCCAAATAATTTCCCACTGAGGAAGAAAGAACAGATATAGATATCTAATCTCACAGAAAATCAAACTAGAACCTTGGAGAATGGTTAAGTAAATTTCCAATATTACATAATTAAAATCACCAAACTCACTGCTGTCGAGTCAATTTGACTCAGAGACCCCCTCTTTGGATTTCAGAGGGAAGTAGATTGCCCAATCTTCCTTCTGAGGAGTGGCTGGTGGGTTTGAACTGCCAGCTTTCTGGTTAGCAGTCAGATGTCTTAGGTGCTACACCACCAGAGCTAGCTAGGTAAAAATTAGAAGTTAACACCATATAGTATTCAGCACAGTATCTGGCAAGTATCAACCTTTAACAAATGTTAGTTATTATAGATACTCTTTTGTAATTTTTTCCTGCACTCTATGCACTTTCCACTATGATTTACAGATATTAATATATACAATCACCATACTGTGCTTACTTTATTTTCCTATAGGAACTAAGTATTTCTGAATGTCTATATGTATTCCTCAGAAGGGAGATGGGGCAATCTACTTCCGTAGTGATACTGCCTTGGAAACCCAAGGAGGGGTCACTACGAGTCGGGTCTGACTCGACGGCACACAACAACCTAACAACAAAATGTGTATTATACATAACAGAAACATTTTTAAACCCTTATCATCACAAATGGAGCTCTGGTAGCACAGTGCCTAAGGCATCTGATTGTTAATCAGAAGGTTGGTGGTTTATACCCACCAGCTACTCCTTGGAAGCAAACTGGGCAATCTGCTTCTGTAAAGACTTACTGCCTTGGAAACCCAATGGGGGTGGCTATGAGTTGGAATTGACTCAACGGCAGAAGGTACATCATAAATATGCCAAAGAACTTCTACATGATATATATGTAAGCCCTTCTTCATATTCATCCTTGTGATCATGTTGTTGTTGTTGTTGTTGTTATGTGCCGTCGAGTCGACCCCCGACTCATAGCAACCCCTCCTTGGGTTTCCGAGGCAGTATCACTACGGAAGTAGGATTGCCCAACCTTCCTTCCGAGGAGTGGCTGGTGGGTTTGAACCGCCAGCCTTCTGGTTAGCAGTCAAGTGCTTTAGCCACTATGCTACCAGAGCTCCTAATTGTGATCATATTGTCAGAAAAATTATAGCTAACAATTACTGACCTATTATCCTACTTACAATGCATGAAGTAATTCACCCTCTCCAAACAAACTATGATGTAGGTATTATTATTATACTCAATTTTACAGATGATAAACTGAGGCACCAAGATATTAAACAGCTATCGAAGGTGAGATATCAGTGGCATAGCTGGATATAAATCTAGGCAAACAGGTTCAAGAGTCCATATTTGGAGATGAGGGCAAGATGGTGGTATAAACAGTCACATGCTTACATCCCCCTGAATAAAAATTAACACAGCTAGTGATCTCTGAATTCGGGACAAAAGTTGAAGATTGGAGAACCAATGAGGTAAAGAGTGTACTGGACTTGAGAAACCTGACAGAAAGTGGTAATATGTGCACAACACATATTTGTTGTCATTGTTATGTGCTGTGGAGTCAGACCTGACTCATAGCGAACCCTCTTGGGTTTCTGAGGCAGTATCACTATGAAAGTAGATTGCCCAACCTTCCTTCCGGGGAGTGGCTGGTGGGTT